TTTCTTACTCTTACTTCTTACTCCGTGTATTGTAGACGGGCCTTAAAGCGCAATAGAATTAACAACTTACAGAAATAAAGTTATGGATCCTAGGGATTTTCTAGAAATGCCAACATTCGTCCGCCATTTTTTATGGATTTTGTCCGGTAACCAATTTGGATAAAGTCAAAGCAACTATCAGAGGGCTCTGATAGAGACCGATTTCTGCGCTAGAATATGCATGGGGATTGATTCTGTGGCTGGGTTCGGAGAGACGCTATTAGCGCTATTTGTGTCATTCTATCTTCGTCACCCATTAAAAGGGAAATAAGGATAATATGACACAAATAGCGTTGATAACGCGCTGCCCGAACGCAGCCTGTATCTTAAAACGAGGTGAAAATTACAAAAATGATCGAATTTACTAGAATAATGATAATTTTATTGGTCAACACTTAGTAAATTTGCTTACTTTTGTCATTTTCAGGCCCAGTCTCACCAACTCTGATTAACTTATAGCGTTTAGTTAACTGGGCTGGTTAAGTTAACTGAGCTTGGTGAAAGTGGCACTTAATCGGTCAATTAGTCCATCGGAATTGACCAATCGCATTTATCGTCAAACAAAATGACAAATGAGATTGGTCAATTCCGATGGACTAATCGACCGATTAAAGTTAATCGGAGTTGGTGAAAGAGGCCCAAAGATGCGATATTACATCGGTTGGGTTAGGTCGTCATTTTAATTCAGTGATTACTTATAACTATAAGGTGCCTTTTTATGCTGACGCTCGACGCTCGTTTTCAGCGTTAAAATAAATCACGAAATCTCTCAAAATTGACGCTTGATATTCGCCAATTTCTATGACGTGACATATTTTGACGCCGAAAATGAGCATCGAGCGTCGGCATGAAAAGACACCTTTATAAGCTGATGACAGCTGGGGATCGATTCTGTATCTTGAAATGAGGTGAAAATTACAAAAGTGAGCGAATTTACTAGAATACTGATAATTTCATTGGTCAACGCCTAGTAAATTTGATCACTTTTGTCATTTTCATCTTGTTTGAAGATACAGAGGCTGCTTTCCTTTTAGGAGACACAGTCGACACAAATCGACACAAGTGTCGTTCTATCTTTGTCACTCTCTGAATATCAAGAAGGATAGAACGATATTTGTGTCGACTTGTGTCATCAAATGGAAAGCAGCCAGAATCAACCCCCTGATGCATTACATGAGTAAAGTTAAATTGTTAGAAAAAGAAGAAAGTATAGAATACGTACTTATAGTATGTACTTAAATAGTACATACATTATACGTATGCACATACATTAATATGCTAGATTCACACTGCATCCGATTTGCGTCGTACGACGCTCCACAACCAATCAGAAAATAGGATTCCGATGATACGAAGCAAAATCCATCGGAATCCTGTTTTCCGATTGGTTGGAGAGCAACTCGGTCGTACGACGCAAATCGGATGCAGTGTGAATCCAGCATTAGACTCTATGCGTAGAGTCCTAGGACTACCTAGGGTGCGATCCTAGACTTCACGCTGCAAATGGCTGCGTTCAGCAGACTCAACAGTTTTGCAACAGTTTTATGATTCTTCGCTGAGATAGGACTATTCCTTTAAAACTAAAAGTATAAACCAATCAGCGCGACGAATCATAAAACGGTTGCAAAACTGTTGAGTCTGCTGAACGCAGCCAATGCTTTGAAGCATTCTTTGATTGGTCAATTTGAAAAATTCTTTCTTCTGATTGGTCAACAAAGTGTTTACAGCATTAAAGCCCGGTTGCACCAACGTTACTTGAATTTTAAGCGAGGCTTAAAACTCTCTTCGTCCCTATCTCTTTTCGGTTTTAAAACGAGATAAAGAGAGTTTTAGGCGTCGTCTACAATACACGGAGTAAGAAGTAAGAGTAAGAAATTGACCAATCACAGTCGAATGTAAGAAGAATAATCGACTGTGATTGGTCAAGTTCTTACTCTTACTTCATACTCCGTGTATTGTAGACGGGCCTTTAAGTTTCGCTTAAAATCAAAGTAACGTTGGTGCAACCGAGCCTAAAGGGCTTCACACATGAAATGCATAACAGAGCATAAGCATAACATAAGACTGCTGGACCAATGAGCATTTAGCATAATGTCGCCATATTGATTTACATAAGATGCTCATTGGTTTAGCGGCCTTATGTTATGTTTATGCTCTGTTATGCGTTTCATGTGTGAAGCCCTTAACTGGATCACATCCCTAATTATACGCGCTAATGAATTAAAATGGCGCTCTGATCACATGATTTAGATAGCCAATCAGACCATACCCTTCAATGTCGCATCTCTGGTATCTAGGCCTCTAGTGTCGACTTGTGTCATCAAATGGAAAGCATCCCATGTTATCTCTTCCACCATGTGGAGAACCAATCAGAAGGTGTGCCCACTTTCGTCAAACTCTGATTATAGGATTATATCTCTAGATCCCCTTAAAGACTATTTTCAGGCTTTTCTCTCTCTGGCGCCAATTACAAAAATCTTTGTATTGAACAATTACTGAATAATAAACAATTTTTGTAAAAAACGTTGCAGAGTGCATACTTATGTTTAACGTTATTAATATTAATACATCGTAAAGAATTTAGAATAAATTTCTGCTGACATCATGGGCACGTACGATCTTAAGTGTTATGGGAGATAGGTTAGAAAAACATTTCAGTGCTTCGTGATTTTCATGTCTGTAGAAGATTGTATTATTTTATGCGTATCATAATGTTAATTCCGACGATTAGAAAGAGTGTACCATGTAATCTGCGACGAATTGTCGCATGTGTCACTTATAGAAACAAAATGCGAACGAAAATCGCACGACAGTACAACGAGACGAATTTGCTGTCTAGCTCGATCCCAAATGTTGCAACTTGTAGAATTTACAGCACTGAATCAGATTCTGAACCACGCGTCTCTTTGCCCATGCTTGTGACTAATGTCGAACCGTTCAAACCATCTTTTTTAATCCCGTTTCGTCTTTTTTTCTTTTCTTTTCAAACTATTCCACAGATAGATAAAGAGTTTTCTATATCCGAGACTCTCCAGGGAATCAGATACGTATGAGATTTTTTATGACTGATTAAATGCATTCTATAATATTGTTCTGGTACTAACAAGTATATCCTTACATTTCTAGGCAATAACAGTAATATCTAAGGCTTTGGCAAATGAAAACTATGATTCCTTGGAAGGTCTTGTAGCAGAAGATATGATAGAAGTTTTAAGGACAAAAATCGAGACCCTCAACTCTGAGCAAAGATGGTTAATTGCAGTAAATGAGAAAGATATTGCATTTCAAATTTTATCTGATATCTCAGCTGAGACAGGTAGCAGAATTATCAAATTAATACAATAATATTCCATAATATATATATGTGTGTGTATATATATATATATATATATATAATTCCATTCAAATTAAAACGATCTTCCATTATATCCCAGGTATGGGTGAGAAAAAGAAGCTAGAGCCAGCTTCTACATTCACAGACATCTCTAAATTTGGTGATATGTTAATATGTAATTATATTTTTACCCGTAAATATGTAAATAATGTTGGTGGTTCATGGATTGCGACTTTTGTAAATCATTATAGTATTAATGCTGTATTGTAGTTTTGTCAATCTATTTGCATAATAGTTTGAAATAAAATTTGTGTTAATCTATTTAATTATTTCTTGTCGCTATAGAAAATAAGTGCTAGCTATCTATATAACATTACTTTATATTTTTTAATAAAAAGATATCAATATGATATATGATTATTTACATTATATTGCATTTCAGACACATATATACATATAATACAAATCATATATTTTATTCACAATTAAAATATATGGATTCAATTTGTACATTCTATATAAATATTAGTTACTAATATGTTCCAATATCAATGGAATATAGTTTTTAATGTGCAGCAATGTTGCGCCAATTTGTGTCCCATTTTTTGAAACAGATATAACCAAAGGCCCCTACAAAATAAAATATTCTGTAATATAAAATATTTATCGCATATAATGATAAAATTTATACATTTAAAATTACCTGACACATTTGTGGATTATGTATCCAACATTCTTGTTTGGAACCTGCAGTTTGGAATAAATTGTTCTGTTTTGTGGCCACAAAATTAAAAAAATTTACTTCCAAATCTTCTAAATTACACACTGAAATCTTGATTACATTTAAATATGGTTCCATAAATAACGAGATAACAACCATAGCAGAGATACTAGCTTGCTTGAAGTTTATTTCGATAGACTTGGTTGAGAAAGCTATTAATTTATTTAAATGGTCTAATGTAGGCGATGGATCTCCTGCAATAATACAATATCATATAATCAAATACAATAAAAATTCCAACACTGAATAGAAATGTGTAAGCATAACATTATATCCAAAAATAAGATATAAATAGAAAAAATAAAACGTTCATATTTTCTTTATTATTTATATCTTCAGATATAATAAATTTTATGTATACACACGTTTATATCCAGTTTGTATTGACATTTTCGTTGTACTTGATTTAATTCGATAGAAAACGTTTTGTTTAATATCATATAATCAAATTTTAATACATACATCAAAAAATGTTTAATCTGTATTATAAGACAAAATTTCTATAATTACTTTTGTAAATTGCATCGGTGAGACGAAAGGGTTTAGTGATCGTTAAGGCAAACATTGGAATTTGATTACGTTCAGTTCCTTTTAATAATCTGTCTATTGCTGCAAATATAAATTAATCAATTACCAATTAGAAAATATTCAGACTATATATATAAATTCTGTGTGTTGTGTCATACATTTTCCTACTTCTTCAAATACTTTTGTGACTGGGATATTTTTACTGATATATTTGCTCAGATGCATGGCGTATAATCCGTATTTGCTGTTTGTTCTTTCGTAACTAGGACGATAACTAGACGTGGAATACGCTTGTACTAAATTTCGTAGGTTTTTCCTACTCTTATATTCTTTGACTTTTGGTATCTCATTATGAATATCAGGATTACATTCTCTGAAAGTTTTTAATACAACGTAACTGAATATTTGATTACATTGAACTGTCGATATGGCCTTAATTCCCAAATTATGTATATAAAAAAGTAGATAATTGTAGAATTTCTTACTTTGGTGGTACAGTTTGGCACATGTCCAATATCGTTACTAAAAGAGCAGGATCATTTTGCAATAATATAGCTAACAATTCACTCTCACAAATTGCATCTCTTCTTAAATAAGATTCTGGCGCATCAACAGCAAGCATGTAACTCTCTTGCATTTTAAAACCATGTCCAGCATAATAGAATAATCCTATATGACATAAACTTTAGTAAAGGCACTATATATGTATATTATTTCTATGTAGTGTATATTTATAATAATTCACCATAAACTCCTTCTTTTAAAACGTCACCAAATTTTTTTATAGCATTCTTCATTTGTTCAAGCGACAAGTTTACCAGACAGATTATTTTAAAATCGATTTCTTTTAACAGAATACCAATTTTTGCAGCATCGTTTTTAGGTGTCTCTAGACACATGTGATTTTCATAATCGTCATTTGCAATGATTAAAGCTATTTTCGCTATTGCTTTTTCACGAGGAAGGTCCAACTATATCAATACAAATATATATTATCATAACAGATTAGACAAAAATTCATTAAATTTTTATTCTCATAAAATAATAAATTGTATGTAATTTTTACCATTATATGACTTCTTTGAGTGATTACTTCATTAACGTCATTATTTATATAACAATGATATTTTCCTTCATGTTTAGAACTGAATTGTCTTATCTAAAACATTTTCTTTTTCTATTATACAATTTTTTAGCATTAATATTATGTATACTTACATGCAATACATTGGATGTATCTCCTTCTAATTTTATATTATCTCTAAACCATTGATAATGTGGCTCTGGATGACCTTGTGCTATACATTTAATTATAAAATCTTCACCTTCCTTAAGCTCTAAGAAAGCAGGTGGTTGTTGCTGTATAACTACAGGTACGCGAGATAACTTTACAAAAACTGATTTCGTTAGCAATGTAGATATTACTACCCTTCCATCATTGGTGATTTGTGAGATTTTACAATTATATTCTCCAGCTTGATCACAACTGTAAGAAATTGTATACATAATGAGTTAATATGTCACACGTCATAAATTGAGACAATATTTTTACCTATTTATAACAATGTCAAGTTCACAACTTTGCTGTCTCTGTAGCTCAATATTATTGTGATACCACTGATAACTCGGCGATGGTATACCCGTAGCTTTGCAAGAAAGACGAAGGTGTTGACCAAAAGATATTTCTAAAGTATCATGTTCTAGATCTTCAGAGGGATGTTTAACAATTATTGATGGCTCTAATAATAATTTTAAAAGTTAGATAATTGTTATGGAATATTTTATCTACAATATATCAGTTCTGAACTATCGAGAGACAGATATATACCTGGATAATGCAAGACAGACAAAACGTTGCCAAGTTCACAATCTCTGAGCAATGTGCATAATATTCCAACTGTACACATTTTTACATTAAGCTCGAACAGCAGATTGTCTGCTGGCGTTTTTGTAGCATTGATATTCTGTTCTAATGACTTTAGCCATGAATTCCTATAGGTGTGACAGATATATAAAGGTTTATTAAGAATATATACTTGTTGATTAATTTTTATCAAAGTTACCCGAATTGTTATTCTTTACCATTGGTATCCAAATTGTTTGGCTACGTGACAGGCGAGTATCTGCCAATTTGAGTTCTTATTTAACTCGTAAACTAATTCATTGTACATTCCTGATGGAATACGCTCTAAATACACATCTTCACTGATTTTTGCCATTTTAATATAATTGTATGTATTGATTGTTTTGCACAATTAGAACGATTAAAATATAATCTTATCGACGTAACGATTTACTTGGTGTCAAATGGGCGTTACTTATTATAGCACGCTTTTTCCTCAATGTGAAAGGAAGGAAATTAATGAATAAACGTCATCATACTTCAGGAAAAATATATCGCATTTATTTTAACTATTTTCTTCACAATTTACTTATCGAGAATACATTGATATTTTATAAAGAGGCACAGAATCTAGTGTTGAGATTTATGTTATATCTAATCTAATTTTATACATTAATTTTTTTGTATATATGTTTTTTAATAAAAAATATAGATCTGTCTTTGATAAAATTGAACTAGTGCACACTTTCTGTACTTAAAGTAAAATAAAAATCTATTTGACGTTTGGTGAAAGCAGGAAGGAAAATTTTAGTGCAGTCAAGTGAAGGAATAAAAAACAAAGACTTATTTTTTTAGAGGCAATAAGTCTGTTCGTGTTGCTTGCTTTTTTTGCGTTCAGCGTCATCGCTTTCTTTCTTTTCAACGCCTGAATATACATTTATCTCATTTTACGTACAAACGTTTTTGGGAATTTTAAGCAACGCGAACAGACCTAACCTCGGCGAATGGCTGCGTTCAGCAGAGAAAGCAACTTTGCAACTGTTGTAAAATTCTTGAATATGATTGGTTTGGGAAGATCCCGTTTGCCTATAGTTCTGATTGTACACACCACTCATATCAACTGGTGCCTAGTAATTTTTCACTGTTTTGCCAATGAGATTATTTTATTTTTAAATTGGCCAATCAGCGATACATGTGTGCAATATGCGATGTGTGCAATCGAAGCCCTCCCGATTGGTTTACACATTTAGATCCAATCAGGAACTAAGGGTAAGACCACCGACGAGATATTATTAAAGACCGTCAACCCTGGGCAAATTTTCGGCGGTATAAAAAGGCCTCCAAGGGCCCGGAGGTAATTCAAGAACGCTGACATTACCGACAATTGATATAAATTTGCTATTATTAACATAAATATTTGGCTCATGCATTATTAAATTTATGATTTTTTATTACATAAATGTCCCATAAATAAATATACATACTTGTAAAGCTGTAATATCCTATATATTGCAAAAAAA